CACTTGTGGAGAAAATTTAGGAAATTTGTTAGAAAGTTTTAGGAACTCTTTTATGCCTTGACTCTAAATACTATCAGATATGTATGATATTTTCACAGCAACAAACAGAATTGAAAAGCTAAGTGATCAAGGTTTCTTTGTTAAAAAAGATGTCCCCTTCAAGTTGTTCTTTTTGCTTCTTTTATTTATTTTAACATATTTCGATTGTGGGTCATATCCAACATTTGGTATCAGAGCTAGGATGCAGAAACAAATGCCAAGACCATACAAAGTCACTGGAGAAGATGTGACAACGATGAGGAGTGGAAGAGAGGGGAGTGTAACACTCTAATACCTGTTACTCACATAGAATAACTACACAACGTGGTCGATAAAGATGCGTGTTAACTTATAGGCACAGGTGACAATGTTGAGGAGTGAAGGATAGGATGACTCTTGCCGTCATCTACCAAGCAGTCCTAGAAGACGTTCTTCTCATGGTGACAAAGAAGGACTAAACAAAGGCAGCGTGGGATAGAGTGCAAACAATGCATTTGGGTGTGGAATGTGTCAAGGAAGCAAAGGTGCAAACCTTGAAGAGTGAGCTCAAGGTTATCTGCATGAAGGACGGTGAGTCAATAGATGACTTTATCATGAAATTGACGACAATCGTCAGTGGCATCCATTCATTAGGCAACATCGTGAATGAGATCTCCGTCGTTAAGAAGTTCCTTCGAGTTGTTCCCCAAGATGCATGTAGATTGTTGCCTCCATCGAGCAGTTCAGGACCTCAAGAACATGTTGATTGAAAAGTTTGTTGGTCGTCTTAAGGTCCAGGAGGAGAGACTTCATGGCTACGAAGACAATTAGGAGGAGAAATATCTCTTATTCACACATGAGGAGTGGCTCAAACAGACGGAAAAGAATGATGTAGCCGACTCTTCTTTTTCAGGTATGAGAGGACGTGGCAGCCATACCAAGGAAATTAGAGGTCGCGGATGTGGTAGTAAACATGAAAATACCTCATAAATCCATGACAATGTCATACCTTAGAAGGACAAGAGTATGATCAAGTGTTACTCTTGTGAAAAATACGGGCATTATCGGTAGAGTGCTGCAACAAGGAGCGCGATGAGGAGGCAAACCTCATGTTCACGGATGATGAAGACCCCGCATTGATGTTGGCCGAGAAAATAACCAATCTGTTGATACTCAAAGAAGAAAAGGTTATGACAAACCCCTCCATAGATGAAGAAGACCAAGTAGAGACGAGCATGTGGTGCCTAAACAACAAAGCTAACAACCACATAACCGTGATTGAGCAAAGTTCAAGAAGCTTGATGAGAAGTTAATTGGAAATATGAAGCTTTGCGATGGATCAATTGTACCGATCCAAGGCAAAGGATCTATCTTGTTCCAGTGTAAGAATGACGATCAACATCTACTGACCAAGGTGTATTACATCCCAAGTTTGAAGAGCAATATTATTAGCCTTGGTCAAATGCAGAAAAAGGTAGCAGAGTGAAGATAGTCGGCCCATTACTTAGGATATACAACAAAGTCGGAGCCCTAATGAAGGTAAAATGGTCGCGAAACTACATGTATAAGATACTATTGAAAGACCATCAACATCTTCCAAAAGTATCCATTGGCGTTGGCCGCAAGAAAGTGAAGAAGAAACCAATTGGTCGGGAGAAAAAGGAATTGAAGTACAGATCCAAGAAGAAACCAAAGGTTCCCTCAATCAGCGAAGTGCAACCTACTAGTTGTTGTGTTTCATCGGACTTACCATCTCAACCAAGGAGGCCTAGAGGAAGACCACTAAGGTGTAAGAAAAATGAGACTTCAAACTTGCCATCTCAACCAAAGAAACCTATTGGTAGGCCAAAAAAGAAGGTTGAAAATGGAGGAATACGTTACAAGAAGTTTCTACATGTAAGTCTGATGATAAATTTTCTCCACGGAAGAGAGGAGTGGAAGAAATTGGAAGAAGACAAAGTTAACTAGGGACCCAGCAAAGTTGGACATTCTCACCAAGACCCTAGAAATGGTTAAATTTGCAGACATCCAAAGTTGCTTGAAGTGAAGAATCTCGAGCAAAGTCAAGCTTACGGAGGAGAATACGAGTTAATAAGCTTAACATAGCAAAAGAAATTATCAACTTAGAGGAATATTAGGAAATTTTAGGCTGAGTTATTAACCTTCTCAAGAGTTCACTCAACATAAAATTAATCCAAGCAAATCATGCTTAATTATAGAATTCTTATGATTGAGCCATTGAAAAAAACGGTGCACTTTATTGGTATATGTAGTAACATTCAATTCTTTTTAAGCATTTCTTAGTATCCTCAGAATCGGATGTGGTCTCAATTCATTGATGTACCACTTTTTTACCTAGGTGTCACATGCCCATTAGCTTCTGCATTGGTTCATCCCGAACCACATCTTATTAGAAGAGGTACCGCTCTTATACTATTTGTAACGACCCATATTCAAGATTTGAATCAGGCTTTGGAATTCAGATTTAGCACGTGATGGCAACGACTTTCTCCTACATCCCTTGCGACATGGTCATATTACTTACTTTTCGCTTCTAATAGTAAAAACTATCCTTACAAACCAACACAAGTCCTTCTAGCATGTTTTGTCCTCACTCACATGCATCTTATAAAATTTCAACGCGATCACCTGACTCGAATTGCTCAAAGCAAAGCACACTTAACTATGAAGTTCCTATGATGGAGCCACTTTAAAAGAATATGCATCTTGTTAGTAAAGGCAGTAACTTTGAATTCTTTTTATGCTTTTCTTAATCATTCTATTCTCAAAATTGCTCTCACTGGAATGTGGTTTCAGTTAAGTCGATGATTTAATTTTTATGGGAACTTAGGCCATTATGCTTGAAGAGTTCAAAGAGAGCATGAATAATGAATTTGAGATAACTGGTAAGAGCATACTTTTCATGTCAATACTGTTGAGGGTTGTTGGGAGAGAGTCCCACGTCGAGTAATTAAGGAGATAATAATGAGTTTATAATTAAAGAATACATCTCCATTGGCCTGAGGGAGAAACTAAAAGCAAAGTCATGAGAGCTTAGGCTTAAGTGGACAATATCATACCACTGTGGATGGTCGTGGTTTCAAAAAAATACTCCTACAGAAGTAGGTTTGAACTTGAGAACGCACGATGAAAATGAAAATTTCGATGCTACAATTTAGATGCTACAATTTATGGAAGTTTTGTTGAGAGTTTGAGATATTAAACTACGACTAGACTCGATCTTATGTTCTCAGAAAGTTTGCTGAGCTATTATATGACATCACCAAAGATAAATCATTTAGAAGCTGGAAAAGAGTTATTTGTCATGTATTGTGAGCTATTGATCATTGTATTCACAATAAGAACATGGTTAAAATGATAATGATTGGGGATGAAACATTGATGATTACAAAAATACTTATACGTGATCGACATTAGTTTGGGTGCAGTTTCATGGGTATTAAAGAAACAGGATATTAAGAAATTGTCACGGACACCATCAATCAGATCCTTCACAGTATCAGTAATCACTTTATCTTGAAATCTAGCCGTTGAATTTCCAACCAAATTGAATATGATTTAGAACATAAATAGCTTATCACATCCAATGGTGGGAATTCAAAACTAAAATCGGCAAAATTCTAGGGGGTTCTGGAAATTTCAAGGGAGTGGATCCTTCCTCTATAAATTATGAGTCATGGGCATTCATTTGAGAAAGTAACAAGCAACGTCGGCCTTCAATCGCGAGTTATAAGAGTTTGTTTTTGGGTATCAAGTTCTCGGGTTCTCTCCAAATTCGAGAGCTATAGTCCACTATTTACTCCAAACCTATTTCTATACCTTTTAAATAAGATTATCCACAAGTTTGGTAAGGAAGGAAGCGTCGAAAATGCCTCAAATCTATTTCTCTAATTCGGTCCGTCATTCAAGGAGTCCCAAGGAACTTGAAAAATCCAATCTACACATGAATTCGTTGGGTAAGATCTATCCCAATAGATTTCTACATCTCCAAAATACATTTCCATAGAAAACCTTAAAGGACAATAACTCTGAGGGTGTGTCCAATTAGAGAATTTTAATATCAGGTAAGCTTTGGAGGTAAAACTCAAACTCTTATTTCCAACTCATTTTAATCAAAATCGAGGTTTTCGTTAACCTTAGGAAACTAAGAAGAGCATATATGATGAAAGAATCCAGGGCTAATTCGTCCGAGATCAAGTTGTCAAGAGGATCAAACTCTGCACGTTGAGTTACAGACCAAAAATTGAAATTCAAACTCAGCCACATTCACACAAAATCGTCCTCCCAAATTAATTCCTTTAGTTTGAAGGGAGTATAAGGAGGAATTCTAGTGAAGAAAATGTGGCCGAAAGTGTCTCAATAGTCCTACTCAATAATAAGTTCCTCTGAGTCAGAAGTGAAGAATCGAGTTTCCAACTAATTTTGGAAGGTAATAACTTAGGCTATAGTTCACGAAAAGGAAAGATATCAATCCCTAACTCTTTCTTGACACTTCATCTTTAAGTTTTACAAAAAAAATTGAGGGGAGAATGTCTTTCACCGTGTTTCATGAATAGGATGTCATGATGGGACTCATGTTTCCCTCACCTAGATGAGATGCCTTGCGTCATGTATTACTAGCCGGATGTCATGATCAAGTTTGCACCAACTATGTGACCATGTCGATCTTTCATGGGGAGTGATTTATAGACCATTTTAAGGGAAGTTTCCGGGTTGATCATGTAATATGATACAAGATAAGTTTTATGTACTCAGTCCAACACTCTGAGAAGTTTTAGTACTCTAGGTTAACTGTACAATTAAGAACTTACCAGTAATAAACTACTAACTGAGTTTTTGTATTCTCTCCATATTTTCTATAGGTAACTAGGTGGTAGGTGGGGATATAATAAAAGATATAATATTCATTTACTTTAACTAAATGTTGATAAAAAAAAATGTATAGGATTTGGTAAGCATACCATTCTTGAGGAGATTGGTATTGGGAAGCCAAATCGCCAAAATAGGCAACAGCCATGTCCGTATTGATAATGCCAGGATCTAACGCTACAATGGTCATTCCATGTGGTAGCTCTTTTGCAATTGATTTACTCAAACCTTCAATCGCCCATTTGGAAGCGCAATAAGCCGAAGCCTGGATAGTTAAAAACTAATCATTTCTATTGTTGATGAGAGCTTTGTTAATATAGATTGCAGCAAATGCGTACCAGGGGACCCACAGTTCTTCCATACAGAGAAGATATGTTCACAATAATTCCTTGATTCCTAGGAAGCATAAGAGGAATGAAGTGACGCAACACATTTGCTGCCCCTTTTATGTTTATGTCGATTACATTATCAAACATTTCGCCAGGAACCTCCCAAAACTTCAAATTTGCAGTACTCACACCTGCATTATTCACTGAAAAAAAAAAAAAAAAATGATAAGAAATTACTATAAGAGGAGTAAGATTTGGATTCCCTTGTTGATCGAATATGCAAAACACTTATTTGAGATTCGAATCACTCCACAAACAAGATCGATCATGTCTAGCTTCAATGATTCTGGTTGATCAAATATCTCAAGCCAAAAACACTTGTTTGAGATTAGAATCACTACACAAGCAAGATTTATCCTGTCGAGCTTGAATGATTTTACATGCAACCTAAACTACATAGAATTGCAAAGAAACTTAGCCAGCACAGATGATTCTTTCACTACATTTTCCAAGTCTCTTTTACAAATATAACATACATCACTTTATATAGCTTCAATATAAAAACTCTTAACCTTACGTGAGACATTCCAAGAGTTGTAACTATATTTTATGATCATAATTAGTCACTCTACTGTATACTTTATAATCATAACTAATAAATAAGCCTTAAAATATATTAAAGAAAGGTTATAACTCTAAATTATGATTCCACCAGAATTTATAACAATGAAACTTGATTCTTATTAGATGTGGCATGAATTGAAATATTTTTTTGTGATAATTTCAACAACATTTTGTTTCCATCTTCGTCGAAATATATTGTAAGATTAATATCTCTTGGTTCATATCATAATCTTGGTGTTTACGTTATTTTATCCAAAATGAAAAAAAAAAAAAAGAAAAAAAAACTGTAGCACAAACATACCAATGATGTCAAGAGAACCAAGTTTGTCCCGGACCGTGTGTGCCATTTGTCGGATGCTGTCATCTGACTTCTGCAAAATAAAAAAAAATTAAACAGATAAACACTAAGACATAGCAAAGGAGAAAGCATTACGAACCACATCAGCGACGAAGAGCAAATGGTTTTGTGGGGAAGCATTAGAGAGTTGTAGTTGAAGTGAATCCAAATCGGTTTTGTCGCGGCCGCAACCAATAATTAGATGGCCATGTTTTGCCAACTCCAATGCCAAGGCTCGTCCTATCCCTTTGGTCACCCCGGTTATTAGAACTGTCTTCTGGGTTGCAGCCATGGATTTGTCTTCTTGAATGCGAATAGCTAATTTAGTGTAGAAATGATATGGTGTAGAAGGGTTGGGTTTTATACCAATTGAAGAAAGAGACATGGACAAGAAACACTTCCCTTTTGAGTGGTTGCAGCTTCAACTACAAAATTTCCTATTTCATTTTAGATTATTGCAACTCGGTTGTGTGGGTGTGCTTCATTTCCACATCTCCCCCATCTACTTTTCCGTGTGGTGTTCTTCATCTCCACGTCTACTTTGTTGTAGCATTTGGTTACTTAAGAACAGATGAAAAAATTGTTCAAACTTTTACCATTTAATGTTGGTAGTTTGTAAGTGGACGGAATTGTTTTATATTATACCTTGCATTTCCAAAAATTATGAGAACCTTGTTTTATGAATTTTGTGAGAGGTATGGATTAGAGATGTATATGGGTCAGATCGGGTCGGGGGCTGGGTGGGAAAGCCTGTCACGGCCACCTATTACATTTCTCATCTCCACGAAATTCTCAATTTATTTTTTACTAGCACATTTGGGTAGAGAATTCACGGTGATCGAGTTACCTAGAGTGAATATATCTCAATTTATTATTCTTAAAAAAAATTGTTTTAAGTTTTCAATTTTCAATATCAAAATATATTGTATAGATAATCTCAATTCAAAATTTAAAATTATAACATAGAGTTTCAAAATTAAAAAGGAAGAGTAGCACAAATTTTTCTTCTTCCACCATCAATATTTGTAAAATTTTGTAAAACGTCCCTGGTAAATGACGTGAGATTGAAAGTTTCAAAAAGCAAGGTTTACTTTATCTATATAAATGTATATTATGTTTTAAATGAATTGAAAATATATTTATATTAAATGGGACTGTACGGAAAATTGAATAGAAATGGAGACGGGATTACCATCCGATATTTTGATCATTTTACTCCCTCTCCTAGTGTGAAAATGAGATAATTAATCTAGAAGAAGAAAAAAAAAAAAAGAAAGAGAAAGAGATGGGGAAAACTAGGAGAGAACTGTAATTGTCACCCTCCCATAAAATATCTAATAATTTATTTTTAAAATACCTAAATTTTTTTAGAGAGATATAATTGTCACACTCCCATGCGACATCTAATAATTTATTTTTAAAATACTTATTTTTTTTTTAATAATTACCTTCATTTTTAGAATATTTAAATAATTTTGGTATAAAAATATCTGAATTTAAAATATTATATTACTTGAACTATTTGGAATTTCGTGTTAAAAACATAACTAGGTAAAATTGTACTTGATGGTAGATAATTTATTCATCAAATATCTTATCATAATTATTTATACCTAAAATATATAAATTCATTTTCTAAAATAATTAGATATTTCTATTTCTAAAATAACTAAATAATTTTTCTTAAAACAGATAAAGAATGAATTCATACCATTATTGAGTTTGACCTTATTGAGCTCCCTACATACACTTATTAATGGTAGTAAGAAGACTTAACGCGTTAAGGTTGATAATCCTTAAAGGTGAATAGGGATATAGAAACTAATACTACATTAGTTGAGAAATAGACATGAGAAAGTCTCAACTCACAGAAGCTTATGAGTGTGCATTTAAGGTGTAGGGCGAGAGTCAGTACCCTCAGGTACTCTAAGAAGAGAATAGACTAGCACATTAACAGGAATAAGCAGCGGAAAGTTACATCCCATCCAATATCACCAATATCATTCATTTGTGTTTAACAATTAGTTTGTGTTATCACATACTCTCGTTATTATAGTTTACATTTTATTATGGTTTTTATTAGTTTAGTGAAATCAATGACACCCATTAATGATGTTACGTGTACTTGGCTTGTAGTTTCCGATTGATTGAGTAGAGAATGTATTGGACTCTCCATGGAAACAATAATTTACTTATTACTTGTTACTTGTGCTAGTGTATATTTGCACTTAAGTATGGATGCGTACCTTCAATATTTATGTTTGCTATGATATCATGTGGGTCTTTCCCTTCCTATGGCGTCCGACGACGTGTTAGTGTGTTGTTCCCTACCAAGCTAGGCCCAAGGGGTACGGATACGAGCCTATCTGGTGGGTGCATGTGCGCGGACCACACATCCAACCTGTACGTCGGCCATGTGTGGAGAAGTACCACACATCCAACCTTACCTGAAATTGGAAAGAGCTCAAGGGTCATGCTACGACTTTAAAGGATAGGTCTTATCATGTGTGTTTTCATTACCCAACCCCAACAATAGGGTTACTTACGGAGTATTTCTTGTTTTAAACTAAACGTGTAAGTTCATGACTTCGTTTGAAATGTTTTTATTTAAATTGTTGCATATGTTATTAAAGTCATGCATGTTGTGACACCTCTAATTTGGATAAGAACATTAGGGGCGTTAGTTTAGAAGGTTGCACACCCCCACGTGGGGGCACTAAAGTATTTGTCCGCTCTCCAAAAGAGAGGAAGAGATAGAGGAGCTAGTGGAATGCAGTCTTGTGTATGTCAAGGCTCGAGATAATAACAGAGCATTCTGGAACATCATTTTCGACTCTGGAGCTGATAACTCTCTAAAAGTAGAGTCATATCGAGTGTTTTTGTAATTAATATTGCACTCTTATTCACCATTTTCTCATTTATTACCCCATTTATTCTACTTAGTGAGCATGAAATTGATTATTGCCGTCCAACATGAAAAAAATATGATTTGACATAAATCGATCTTAATTGAGTTATGTGATAAAATTTCAGACATTTATGCTGAACCATGAGGAAGTAGCAAATTTGGAAACAAATGGGGGATTACATGGAAATTTTAAATCCATATCAGGAGTCCAAGTGGGTCATTGACTACCCAATGAGCAACATCCTATATGTAGACGACTTATTCCTTTTCAGCCCTCCAACAAACAAATGGGGGATGACATGGAAATTTTAAATCCACATCAGGAGTCCAAATGGGTCATTATTGACTACCCAATAAGCAATATTCTATGTGGACAACTTATTCCTTTTCAGCTCTAGAGGGAACCTATGCTCAATATAAAAGGAAAAAAAAAAGACCAAGAGGAGAGTGACACACTTTGGGAGAAAAATTGAATTACACAGCAGCAGCCTCTGCTGCAGTGAATTGCTGTGAAACTAGAGAAGAAAAGAAAACTCTAATCCAGCAGCCGTTGACAGCAGAAGGAAAAGGAAACCAACAATGATTGATTAGGACAAAGAGGTGGACATGAGAGCTCAAGAGAAGGAAACTTCCATTGACGAACGACAACAAACCGGGATAACTCTCTATTTCCTTATTCTCTTTTCTTATTCCATCAATTTTACATGATGAAGATGCGGATTCCTCTATTTAATTCAGTTTGTATGGAGAGCTATGTTGGCCTTTTGACCCCTGATCTCACTTGAATTAATTTCAATCAATTAATTGATTGATGTTTGGATGATAACAAACCTACTTTTAATTATTAACTATTTTCAGTATTTTGAACTGTCCATAGTATAAGGTCGGGAATAACGATTTCAACGACTTTTCAATTACTCAAATCAGAGCTAAAACGAAGAAATTACAGTCGAGACAACATATCCGACGTGATGATGTAGCAGCAAAATCAAAATGATGGATAAATCAAAATATATTAAAGTATGACATTTATAATTTTGAGTTTTTCTTATTATTATATTTCTAAATAAAATTATTTTTACAAAATATAAATTTGAATCTAACCGTTACTCACATCGATTTTTATTATTACTATATTATATTATTATATTATTATATTTTAAAATTTTAGTAGTTATTCACATAGTTTTTATTATTATTATATTATTATATTTATAATAAATTTTGAATTTTCATTCAACAGTTACTCACATAACTTTTTATTATTATTATATTATATTAAAAATTTTAAATAAATGAATTTGGAAAATTTCCTTATTTATTTACTTTTTAATTTTCTTATTTATTTACTTTTTAATCTCCACCTTCCATTGTTCCTAACACAATCCAATGGTGAATACTAATTCCTAAATTTTGGCACTTTTCTTTCCTAAACTCATCAACTTCCCCCACATTACAAACACACAACTTCCATAAATTTTCCAATCCACATTTGTTCAAAGTCTCCATTGTTTGTTGCTCTCTCCAAGCTTACAAGTTTATTTCTCTTCATCTTATTCTTTAGAGGGATTATTATTGTATTGTGAGGAAATAGTTGTGAGTGTTCCAAATTGTAAATCTACTCTTTGAGAGAGTTGTAGTGTGTTACTATCAAACTCAAATACTTGTATCGGTTTGATCCTGCTCCGTGGAAAGAATTGAGTTTGCTTTTGAACTCGTAAAAAGAGCAGTGTAGCGGTTTGGCTCTGATCTGTGGAAAGAGTTGAGAAAGTTCTTTATTCAAATTCCCAAGGAGGCGCTTGGGGAGTGGAGTAGGTCGAGTTTGACCGAATCACTATAAAACTACGGTGTCATTTTCTCTAACTCTTTCCTATTTAATTTCAAAATTATTATTGTGATTTATTGCATGTTCTACTTGATTATTGTTTTGACTTGAATTATTTTGTTCTAGTAATTATCATCTTTACTTATTTATAAAAATTTTCATCATTAGAAAAATTAATCACGTTTAAACACTTTTATCGTTAAAACCCTATTCACCCCCCTCTAGGGTTGCCATACCGATCCAACAATTGGTATCAGAGCGGGTTGCTCTTATAGATTTTTTATATAAACTTTATTGTTCGAGCTTATGGCCAACCTACGTGTTGAAAATGGTTTTAATGAAGGACAATCAACCTCTAGACCCCCTTATTTTGATGGAACAAATTATACATGTTGGAAAGCTAGAAATGAAAATTTATTTGCAATCGGTTGATTAATCAGTTGATTATCAATTGTGGTTAAATGTTAGTAATGGTCCTTACATTCCAATAAAAATTGTTAATAATGTTGAGGTGCCTAAATTAGAAGAGGAATTTGATGAGCAGATATGAAAAAATGTTCTTTGAATGCTAGTGCTATCAATTGTCTTTATTGTGCCTTAACTAATGATGAATTTAATAGAGTATATATGCGTTCTTCGGCCTATGAAATTTGGAAAACTCTTAAAGTAACTC